AAGGACTGGGAAGGCCTCCTGCAGAAGGCTGTGTTTGAGTCGAGCCTTGAAAGAAGTCAGGACTGTAAAGAAGTAGAATTGAGGAAGCAGAGCATTCCAAGCATGGGGCACAACCAATGTAAAAACATAGAGATTGAAGGCAGAAGATGCTATTCATATCCCTTTGTCTTATCATCCTGGTGGCCATGGGCATACCCCAATCCCATGAGGATATCTCCCTGTAATCTCATCAGGTTGATTTGGGAACTCATCAAATTGATCAATTGATCCTTACATTTTTCGGGCAGAAGCTGAGGAAAACTCAAATTAAGATAGATAGAGATTTCAGATTTAAGTGCATAAAGGTCAGAGATGAAGCAAGGGAGTGGATGAGATCACAAAGAAAGAAGAGAATGTAGAGAAAGAAGAGAAGGGGGCAAGGACTGACCTTTGGAGAAGACCAACATTAAGGGGTTGGAAAGAGGAAAATGAGCCCAAGAAAGAACATTTAGATAGGCAGGAGAGCCAGTAGAGTGGAAGGCTCTTAAGTCCAAAACAGAATTCATTATTTTTCCTCCTAAACCCACTTTCCTGTAAACTTCCCTATTTGTGTGGATACCATTATCTTTCTAGTCACTTAGATCAACAACTTTTGAGACACCCTTGATTCTTCATTACCACCCATATACCATCAGTTACTAGGTTTTATTGACGCTATCTCCACATCTCTTCTATCTGTCCCTTTCTCTCTACTCACACAGATCCCACCCTAGTTTAGGCCCTCACTACCTCCCACCTGGACCGTTGCAATAGCCTCCTAATTTCCCTGCTTCCAGTCTCTATCTCCATTCCATCCTTCAAACAGCTATCTGAAGTCACTACCCAGCTCAAAAATCATCAGTGGCTCCCTACCGCCTCTAGTATAAAATACAAACTTTCCATCCTGGCATTTAAAGTTCTCTAGAAGTTGATTTCAAGCTGCCTTTCCAGACTCAGCCCATCTGCACACTCTATGGTCCAGCCAAATTGGATTACTGGCTATCCCTTTGACCTTGGCATTCCATCTCTTGTCTCGTGCCTTCGCATAGACTGCCCTCTGTGCTTGAACTTCACTCCCTCTTCACCCCCAGCTTTCAGAATCCCTGCCTTCTTTCACAGCTCAAATTAAGTGTCACATTCTACCATTAGCCTTTTGTGATTTCCAAATTGCTCTCTTCCTCCTTATATTACCCAGAATTTACTTATTTATGTACAGGTTGTACCTCCCCATCTCTAAAGAAGATTATGAATTTTATCAGGGAAGGAAACTTTTATTTTTCTTAGTATCCCAGGGCTTGGCATAGTGCCTTACACCTACTGAGTGATTAATAAATACTTATTGAATTGAAATGGATTACAGAATAGTACAATCAATCCAGTAGGAAGCGAGGAAGCATATATTAAGTGCTTACTATATGCCAGGCACAGTGCTGAGCACTAGTGATAGAAAAAAAAAGGCGAAAACAGTTTCTGCCTTAAAGAGCTCACACTCTAATGGGCTTAATGTCTCTGGACACCCATTTCCTTATATGTCAAGTGAGGAGGGCATTCTTAAATGACCTCTAAGGTCCTTTCCGGCTCTGAAATTCTAAGATCCTATGAAATATATTCAACATTTAGAGAAGAGAGAATATCCAGGAGAAGTTGGCCAATGGATCAATTGCAAAATGAGGACCAAAAAAACCCCATAGGCAGTGTAAACTTCCCTATTTGCATGGATACCAGTGAAGAAGTCCTATCACCTTGAGATTGCCACGACCTGGTTCAGGCCCTCTCACTTCACACTTCGATTATAATGGCCTGCTGGTGGGCCTGCCTGCCTCAAGTCTCTCCCCATTCCAATCCATCCTCCATTTACCTCCTACAATGATTTTCCTAAAGCTCATCTCTGACCATGTCACTCTTCTATTCACACCAGTGGCTCCCTATTACTTTGTCTTCAGGAGCAAACATAAAATCCTCTTTTTGGTGTTCAGAGCCCTTCATACCATGTCCCTTGCCTACCTTTCCAGTCTTCTTACACTTCACAGTATTCCTTCTTCCCACTGTACTCTTAAATTCAGGCACACTAGCCTCCTTGCTTTTCCTCAAATGAGACACTTCATCTCCTGACTCCAGGCGTTTTCACTGGCTTCCCTGACTTCCTTCAGGTCCCAGCTAAAAATTCCACCTTCTGCGAGAAGCCATTCCCTTAATGCTAGTGCCTTCCCTTTAAACTTTTATCTGGTTTGGGGGGCCATCACCTGTCATCCGGACCTATGTCTTGCTGCTGAACTCCAGTGACTCTGAAGGAGAGAGGCTGATGACTTTGCACAGCTCTGCCTCACTTAAATCCAATTCACTTGCAAGTCAAGACATCACCCTTCTGATGTCATTGGACCTCTTTGAGAACAAAGGATGAACAACAAGGTCCACTTTATCCCTCACATATCTTGTTCCTACACTGTTGTATGCAGGTTGTCTCCCTACTGTAGACTGCGAGTTTCTTAAAGGCAGAAACTGTCTTTTGCCTTCCTTTGTATCCCCAGCCAGCAATTAACATGGTGCCTGGCACACAGTAGGCACTTAATAAAAACTTATTGACTTGAGAAAGAAGAGAACCATCTCCACCAAGATCATCAGCTAACACTTCAAATTCAGCTGGTCTAAAGTGAACTCATCAGTCAGTCTCTTGGATTAACCTCCACTCTCCTGTTTCTGTTAATGCCCCCACACTATCAGCTGCCACATCTTGTCACTTACATCTTAGTAATATATCTCTTATCAGTTTCTCTCCCTCCTTCTTTCTCCCTACACAGTCTCAGACCCTAATTCCAGCCTTCTTATAACCACTCACTTACACTTTTAAAAGTAATAACCTCTTAGCTTATCATTCTGCCTCCAATCTCCCTTCCTTCAATCTATACCTGCATCTTCCCAGGGGGGCAACGAATACAGTGGAACTACTTTAGTTTCAGTCTAGCTAAAATCATAAACTCTCAAAGGGCAGGAACCAGGTTTTAAATATCTGCCCCCTTTCTAACTGAAGTAAGATCACAAAATTTAGAGCTGGAAGTGACTCTACAGAGATTGTATAGTCCAACATCCCCTTTTTATGGATCAGGAAACTGAGGCTGAGTTTTGCAAAATGATTTTCTCAAGGTCATGCAGATGAGTGCTTTACAAATACCTCATTTGATCCTCATCCCCATTTACAGATAAAATGTGACTTGTCCAGGGTCACACAGCTAGTAAATAAAGTGTCTGAGGCTCGATTGTGAATTCAGGTCTTCATGGCTCCAGGCTCAGAGCTCCACCCACTTCAACACCTACCTGCCTCTAAGAGACAGAATTTGAACCTAGATGTTCTACCACTAAATACCCAAATTTTTTTCATTGTACCAGGAAACCCAGTCCCCGGTTCTACACGCAGGTGCTTAAGGAATATGGATGGATTGCTCTCTAACCCAGGCCTGGTCTTAGACCTCTCCCCTGCCCATTCTTCTGGGAGTGAGTTCATTTCCAAAGGTGGGAGGAGAGATGGGGGAGGGTTGTAATGGGGTGTTTGTTAAAAAGCATACACACTGTGGAATTTCTTTCCGGTAGCAGCACCGAGTTATTAAACAGCAATGAAATCCTGAGGAACAGAGTTGGGAGAGGGGAAGAATCTAATATAGATCCGTTTTCTATTTTTAAAAAGCTTTTTTTCTTCCACTTCTTTAAATCCGAACATTTCCAAGGCACAGAAGCAACCAATCAGGGAAGCAAGGCTGGAGAGGGAGGAGAAGGGCCCAAGGGTGACCCCAGAGTCCATTCTCCCTCCCTCCGATTGGGGCCTCTCCCTTCCTCTACCACCCCCCCATCCGACCCGACCCTCCATCTCCCAAATCTTTCTATTTTGACCCCCCACATCTCTCCCGGGTTCCTACAGCTCTTCTTCCCAGCCCTACATCACTCTCTCCCCCAACCCATCGACCCTCCCTAGAATTTGCTGGCAGAATAAGAACCCATGAGCCCCCAGGAAGTTACACAACACGCCCCCCCCCCCGCTCCCCTAACTTATTTACAAAGCAATTTGAAATGCAAAATGGGGCTGAAGCCCAGAGGGCCTCAGCACAAGCACTTTTTGCCCTAAGGTTAACCTAACCACGCCCTTCTCTTCTCAAAGCCCTTCCCCAAATCCATCGTCCCCTCCCCCAAACACTTTCTCACACTTTACCGTGCTCCTTCCCCACCCCCTTTCCCCAGCTCCTGGCTACCTCTAGCCGTTTCCTCTTAGTTCCTACCCACTCGCCAGCACCTTATCTATTCTCTGGCCTTTCTCTCTTACGATCCCCCCACCCCCGATCTTTTAAAACTTCCCTCTCCCCACCATCAGCCCCTACCTCTTCTCCCCAGTCCACCCCCCACAGCCTTTTTCGTTGTCCTCTTTCCCCGAAGCCCTTCCCTCTCTTTCTCACTCTCTCCTCGAGCCCCTTCCCCTCTTCGCTCACGCAAACCCCTTCCCCTAACCCACCAGCCCCTCCCTCTTCTCCCCTATTCAATGCCTCCTCCTCCCTCAGCCCCTTCTCCTCCACCCCCTTTTTCTTCTTTGCTTGGCTCACCCCCTCCCCCAAGTTTTTCGACTATTGATTCTTCTGCCTCTCCACTTCATCCCTTATCCGATTTCTTTGGGGGGGGAGGTTCCCCCAACCCCAACTTCGCCCCCCCTCCGGGAACGTAATTGTGTTAGCTCCACCCCTTTTCCATTCAGCGCTCTCCTATTGGCTCCTCTTCCCCAGTCGCGTGCAGGGGGGGGAGAGGAGGTTGGGGAGGGGGGTCGGCAGGTTAGCCGATCCGTCCCCTCCCCCCACTTCGCTGCGGCTCCGCCCTCCCCGCGCAGACTCCTCCCGCCTCCGGGCGGGGTCCTCCCGGCTCCTTTCATTCCCGGCCCGGACGGCGCTCCTCGGGCTGGGGTTCTGACCTCGGCGGGGCTGGCTCAGAGTGGCTGGCTGACTGCGGGCTGAGAGAGCCCGGGAGGAGGAAGAGGAGGAGAAGAGGAGGACTGCTGGGTTGCTTGGGACCCAGGCTCGCCAAGCCAAAGCCTGCGCTCCATTTTGCAGCGGGCGCCTGGCCCGACTTCCCCGCTGGGGCATCGGCTGCAGCGTCTTACTCCCGGCCCCGCGCCAGCCGGGGCTACAAGCCCGGACACCACCCGCGCCTCTGTCTGGAGCCGGAGCCGGAGCGCACCGCCTGCCTGTTCCCCCAGCCCTGGGTTCTGGATCCCGGGTGCGGCTCGCCAGCTCCGTGCCGGGGACGTCGCCGTGCGTCCCTGACCTAAGGCTGCTCTTCTGCCCCAGGCACCCGAGCCACAACTCTGCCTGAGCTTCGATACGCGCCCACTGCCCTCGCCCCGTGTACCGGAGCCCGGGCGCTGCCAGCCTCTGCCCACGTGCGAGCGACCCAGGAAGCTGTGCGATCCCGGGCGCAGCTTGCGCCTCCAGTCGAGTGCCGGTCGGCCCCCTGGAAGCAGTCGCCTGGGTCAGAATTTGGACAGACCCCTCCGCACCCTCGTTCCCGGACCGCCGCCTAGTTTGAACTTGTTCGGACTCCGGCCGCCTCCTTGTTCTAGGCGAATCCGAACCCAGACACCGCTACCACTGCTTGGCCCCCGTTGATTTGGCATTTCAGCTAGCTGGAAGCCAGGACCCCACCCGCTGCCCTGTCCCAGGGCACCATCCTCTCCCATAGCCAGCGTCCTTGGTCCGTCTCCCCGAGGGCACAGTGGTTGCAGCGGGCTTTGCTCCCGGTCCTCGCCCTCTGGAAGTCTACGCTGTATGTGCCGGGGAGGCTGCAGGCGGGCCGGGCCCTAGTCCTCGGGAGAGGAGAAGAGCAGAGGCCGACTGGGCTGGTGATTTCCGCCCCCCCTCCCCCAGGTGCCCTGGGCTTGGGCTAGGTGAGCCCTCAGCACCGAACACTGCACGGAACCCTACAGGAGCGCGGGACAAAGCAGGAAACACCCCGGGAAGAAGGTGAGTGTCAGATTTGAGGTCTTCGAGCCGGGACTTCAGGGCCAGGATAATGAGGACTGAGTACATCCCACCGCCACCCCTTTTCAGGTCAGGAATACCCAAATGTAGGAAAATATGAGAATTCACTTTGTCACACCCTGGGCCTCGGTTGGATTAGATGGTCTCCAGGGTCCCTTCCTGCACTAAATCCCTATGCTGCCCAATGCCACTCTGCACATCTCAGCTCTGCTCAATGAGAGCTAAGGGAAGAGACCGAGGGGAGCAGAGGAAGGGAGATATGGGTTGGGGAGAAAAGCAAGGGAGAAGGAAACGTGGAGAGAGTGACCAGGAGGGGGAAATGACAGAAAGAGCTGAGGACATTGGGAGGGGATGTAGAGAAAGGGAAGGAAAGACAGGGAGGTTAGAGGGAACAAGTTTATGGAAGAGACAGAGCATATGAGAGCCATTATGTGGTTTTTAGGCTTACAAAGTGCTTTTATGTCCATAAGCTCTCATTTGTTCCTCATGGTGACTGAAGGAGATGGACTTGTAATATCAGCTCTGCTTGACAGAAGAACTAACTGAGGCTCAGACGGGTTGTAATTTGCCACAGTTAGTACAGGCCAGTGGAGACTATTTGAAACCTAGATTTTCTGACTTCAAATCCGGAGTATTTATACTATGTATAAATAACATTTATACAGTGTTTATTTATACATCGTTTATACTATGTATAAATAGTATTTATACTATGCTACACTGCATTGTAGACGAAGATGAGGACATCAAGGGGAGAAGGAGAGGGCTAGATGGGGTTGGTGGTAGAATATAAATTCCTTGAAGGTATCTCCAGCATTCAGCAAGATTGGTGTACTTTATAAGTGCTTAATAAATTCTCATTGTTTGCTGGTAAAGGAAGTAGGTCAGTGAAAATAAGGGTGGGAGAGACCAGAGCAAAGGGGGAGAGATTATACATAGACAGAGTGAGGTCAAAGCCCAGTCAGGTAGCGAAAGATAAAGATTGTGTTCAATATCTCTTTCCTTCTCTCTTGATACCCAGTAGATACCTGTTCAGTTTAAGAACCCATCTTCTAGGTGTAGCTGGAGATACTTATCTCAGCCCTTCAGGGATCCTAGATTCCATCAGTTGGCCTTGCCATCATCCTGGTGCTTCAGGTCACAGCTTCTCTCCCTCTCTCCCCCTCTCTCCCCCTCTCTCTCCCTCTCTCTCCCTCTCTCTCCCTCTCTCTCCCCCTCTCTCCCTCTCTCCCTTTCTCCCTTTCTCCCTCTTTTCCTCTCCATAAGAAGTAGGCTGCCTTCCCTAGTAGCTGTGGCTAATCCTTTGTTGTTGGGCCTCTCTGTGCTTAGCTAGACTGATCCTCTGAGGACACACCCAGGCCATCACTGGCCACTTACTTGACCAGCTGGAGTAGGACCTGCTGGGACTTAAGTATCAGAGGAGAACTTCAGCAGATATGCCTGGTGATTCGAAGATGATCAAAGAACTAATGGCCTGAATTGGGGAAGATTAATCTAGTGGGGTGAGTGGGTAGGGGAGACAAAATCCTTCAAAAATAATTGTAATGCCAAACAGAATGTGAGTTACGTAGTGTTCTGTGAGGTTTTCGAATTGGAGTGGAGCCCAGTGACCCCTCTATGGACCTGGCATTCTAGGTCTTTTGCAGTCTGACTCTAGACTATCTTTTGAGAGGCTTTTCATTTTGTTCCCCTTCCTGTGTGCCATTCTAGGTGGCGTGGCCCTGATTTCAAATCCTGCCTCAGATCCTTCATGGCTTTGTGACCCTGAGCAAGTCAATTAACCCAGCTTTCAGTTATGCAAAATGAGGATAATAATAGCATCTATCTCTAAGGTTGGTGTGAGGATCAAATGAGATCCATATGTGAAGTGTTTAGCAAGCTTCAAAGTTCTGTGTAGATACAAACTATTATTATTAAACTTTTATTATTAAACTGTACTTCAAATCATTCCCCAAATAGGTAAGATGTGCACACGTTTCATCTCTCTGCCCTGCCTTTTTTTTTTGTCTGAGCGCTCAAATGTGTTTCTCCTCTTTGTTCCCTTCAAAGCCCTGTTCTGATGCCCCCTTACCCCTTCCTGGAGGCCCTACTTTGTTTGTACACCTGCCCCCAGGATCGTTCTTACCTTGGCCCCCTTCCCGTTGTCAATCAATAAGCATTTATTAAATACCTGCTTAGTGCCAGGCATTGTACTAAGTGCTTGGGACTGAAAGAGAGGCAAAAAAGTGCCTGCCCTCTAGGAATTCACATTCTGATAGGGTTGAGATAATATCCAAGCAATTATTTTTTCCCCTTCTTTTTTTTTTAAACAACAACCTGGGTTCGGATCCCACTTCCAAAACTTAGTATCAGTGTAACCCTGTTAAGCCTTAACTTCGTCTGGATCTTCATGTCTTTATCAGTATATGGCACTTACCTTACAGGGTTGTGAAGAAGGAGTGAAATTGTTTACAAAGGGCTTTCAAAGCACTATATAATTGTCAGCTATTATTATTATGAGTTAATTCATTGGATCATTACACTTAGAGCTGCAAGGGGCCTTGAGTCTGTTGAGTCTTCTCTTTTTACAGATGAGGAAACCGAGGCAGAGAGTGGGTGACTTGCCCAGAGTCACACTGATAAGGAAGTGCTGGCTGGATTTGAATCTAGGTCTTTCTGACTTGAAGCTCAGTGCTCTGTGTCCCTTGTACTTACTGAGTATAAGCCTGACAACCCAATTTTCTGCAGGAACCTGGACGGGGCAGGCAGGGTGTTAATGCTAGACTGTGTAGGGGGTAGGGATTTGGCCAGCTTGTTTTGTGTTAATCTTTGTTCTTAGATTCCAGCAGGAAAACTGAGTGATAGCTTAGCCCAGGAGAGGAGGGGCCTGGATTGGATTTGCTCTGAGCTCCTTTCCAGCTTTAAATTGGTGACCCTGTGGGTTCAAATCCCAGTTCTGGGACTGCAGAGCTAGGCAATAACTGGGTGAGCTCTTCAGTGGTCTGAATCTGTAAGATGGCGACAATGATCACTTGCATCAGGGTCCTTGTGGATAAAGGGACCAGCCTTGGAGTCGGGGAGCCCCAGTTTCTCAAGTCCTGTCCTCCAACAGAAAACTCCTTGTATGACCATTGAGCAAATCACATAGCTGCCCAGTTCCCCTAGCCACTGTCTTTCTCCTTGGGTCCCTATGCCTAGGGGATCACAGGTCCAGACTGGACAAATCATACATGCTTTACTGAGCCCTCATGAGGAAAGGGCTTTCTAAATCTAGCAAGTACGGTAGTGAAGGAGGTTGTTATTAGAAAGGTAGGCAACTATTATGCCTCTCTTGTCACGGTTGATCATTCCTGAAGCCAGCACGTATTAATTGCCTACTGTGTGCCTGGTGGTGGTGGTACAGAGACAAAAAAATTGAAATCACTCCTGCCCTCAAGGAGTTTACATTCTCACTGGGAAGTGAGGTTGAGGTCATTGATTGAGCAGAGCCTTGAAATTAGCTAGGAATTCTCAGAATAAGATACATTTTTGGACATGAACACTGTGGGAATTTGTTTTGCTTGATTATGCATATCGGTTACAAGAGTTTTTTTCTTTGCTTAATTTTTTAAAATTTCAAATGGGGGGGTACAGAAGGAGAAAATAAATGCCCATTAATTTTTTGGGGGGATAATTAAATTGAAAAAAGAACCCTAGGGATTCTTTGAGGTAGTAACACATTCTTCATTTGGGGGACAGCTGAGGCAAATGGAGATTGGAACTGTATCATGTGTGAGGGACAGTTGGGAAGATGGTTGGCTGGGCTGTGGAATTTCTGAAGGATGTAATAAGCCTGAAAAAGGAGGTCCTCCACCATCCTACTCTGACACTTTGTTCTGGCATTGAGGTGACCCCGGGTTCTGGAGGGCTACATTGGGGCAAACATTTCCTGGGTAGGTCGTCCCAAGCTGGAAAAGGTCTGAGTCCTGGCTTGGCATCAGAGATCCACTGCTAGGGGCAGCTAGGTGGCGCAGTGGATAAAGCACCAGCCCTCAAGTCAGGAGGACCTGAGTTCAAATCCAGCCTCAGACCAAACATTTGACACTTGTTAGCTGTGTGACCTTGGGCAAGTCACTTAACCCCAGTTGCCTAATATAAAAAAAAAGAGATCTACTGCTTAGGAACCAACCCAGAGTAGCTTTGGGGTAATGGATAGTTCAAGCCACAGCAATACTGGAAGGCTCCCAGGTCTCAAGAGAGCTTGGGAAGTGTGTTAGTGAAGGGAGTAGTACCTGCCAATGTTCTCCAGTGGCATCATGGCTCCTTGAAGCATTAGTTATGTTATCATAGAATTGCAGGCTGGATAAGGCTGATCCCTTATGAAAACAAACGTGTCTGTAGACATGTGGACTTTTTGAACTCCCAGGGCTCTTGAAGATCATGAAGACCAACCCTATCATTTTTTTGGGAGGGACTTGCCTTAGGAAACAAAGCCAAGTTGTGGTAGTATTGGAACTAGGACCAAGCCCCCTGACTTCTAGTCCAAGGCACCTTCCCTGGCATGAGGGGCTTTCCTTAAGGCTTTTCTCCAATCCCTAATTAACCCACACTAGTTTATAAGGTGCCTTTTTTCCCCCCTTTTTACAACTTGGCTCCAATCTGTCTTTCCAACTTCACTGGACATTATCCATCCCCACCCAGCTCTGTAATCCAGCCAAACTGGCCTTCTCTCTGTTCCTCACTCACAACACACTCCATCTCTGGTCTCTATTTCCTGTCCCTTGAGCCTTTGCCGTGACTGTACCCTATGCATGGAATGCACCCCTTCCTTACCTCCTAAATAGTCTGTCTTTAAGACCCAGTTTAGTCACCCTAGTCCATTTTGGAGCCTTTCCTAATCCCTGCTAAATACCGAGTGTTGGCCCTCCCAGACCACCTTGAGTTTAACTAGTGTCTAGATATTTGTAGCAATTTGCTTTGTGTTTCTGCTGAATATAGATTTCTATGTACTGGTCTCTTGCATT